GCAACAGTGGTCAATTACACCTAGTGAGCTTCACACTGGTTTTCTTTTTCCTTTAAAAATTATGTGAAATTTCATTTTAAAGAACACTCGTGAGATTACTGGATATTTTAAATTTAGGTCTGTCTTGTATTTAAATGAAATATTATTGGTATTCTCTCTGTTCCCTCCCTTCCAAGTGGCATCCTAGCAACTGTTTTTACGTGAATGACTGTTGTCATGGCTGCTGCAGGGGAAGCAGGAAATAACCCTCAGGGCAGTGTTTACAATGAGCAGGGTTCTCGTCCTTAAATTTCAGGAGACTCCCTCCTCCGTCAACAGCTCTTGTGCATTCAGATGCAAAACAATTGTGTCCTAGACTAGAAGATAAACAGACCTGGGAAGTAAAACACACACAAAAACTCCCGTGAACTCCTTAAAATCTTTATACATAATTGAAGTTATTCTGATTATATATGAGGTTCTGCTTGCTTGTTTTTGAAGGAAGGTACTTGATTTGACGCGGGTGGCGCTGTGGGTTAAACTACAAAGCCTAGGACTTGCCGATCAGAAGGTCGGCGGTTCGAATCCCGGTGACGGAGTGAGTGCCCGTTGCTTGGTCCCTGCTCCTGCCAACCTAGCAGTTTGAAAGCACATCAAAGTGCAAGTAGATAAATAGGTACCGCTCCAGCAGGAAGGTACCGTATTTTTCGCTCTATAAGACGCACCAGACCACAAGACGCACCTAGTTTTTGGAGGAGGAAAACAAGAAAAAAAATATTCTGAATCCCAGAAGCCAGAACAGCAAGAGGGATCGCTGCACAGTGAAAGCAGCGATCCCTTTTGCTGTTCTGGCTTCTGGGATAGCTGCGCAGCCTGCATTCGCTCCATAAGACGCACACACATTTCCCCTTACTTTTTAGGAGGGAAAAAGTGAGTCTTATAGAGCAAAAAATACGGTAGACGGCGTTTCCGTGCACTGTTCTGGTTCACCAGAAGCAACTTAGTCATGCTGGCCACATGACCCGGAAGCTCCCTTGGCCAACAAAGCAAGATGAGCGCCGCAACCCCAGTCGGTCACGACTGGAGCTAATGGTCAGGGGTCCCTTTACCTTTTACCTGATTCTTCAAAAGTACTCATGGATTATGCACAGTGGGAATAGTTTGAGCATTGCTGTGGATTATTCCTTCCAAATGACATATTGCAGTGTAGGAGATGGTCAGTGGAATGGAATGTGTTAGGGCTATCAACAAGTCTGCTGCCTAAATTTTAATTAATTTGTCAAAATGAAAATCTGTATATTGAAAAAGCTCAACATACAGAAATCATATTACAAAAGTAATCAATATAGGGGACTATTAGAACCAGATATCCCTACTCAAGTTGGTGGGTGGGGGAGGGGGGACAGGTATTACCTGGGTGTCGGTTTTAAGGAATTTTCTTTTCTGCTAGAGACTAAGTGGAACAGGACCTTGTTCCATATTCTGTTCTATTTAGCAGAATCGTTAGTGGAATCTAAGTCATGTACCTATGTTACTTTGAGGCTATCTAGTGCACTTGTCCTAAAAAAAATTAATTCTAGAGCTATCATCCGTCTGTCTAATAACAAAACCTAACAATTGAAAATGCTATGTAATAATTGGGTGGACAAATGGTATCAACAAATCTGCTTTAATGGAAAAGCTGCCTAAGAAGTTGGAGCAAGAAGTAATCTAATGATGATGAAAGGCACTTTTTATGAAAGTTGGTTTAATTGCTTATATTGCACATCAGGAACATGACTGGCAGCCTCTGTTGACACACAGAGTGCTTTGTTGTGTGTTGTTGTTTTATTTATTTTATTAAAAAGAAATGATACAACATAGCAAAATACACAGGTAGCATTCACTTTGCCAAAAAGAAAACAAACGCTTTCTCGATACAACCTGAAACATTTTGAAAGGATAATAATGATAATCAGAAATAGCATGCAATCAAAATTTTGTTGTGCTTTATAATGCAGTGAACTGTATTTTGCTGGTCATGAAATGGTTTTGCTTGTTTTGTTTTTCGTTTTGCTTGATAACTGTTATTATCTAAAAATAAATTATAATAAGATATGTTTTTTAAAAGCTCAATATGTGCCTTTTTGAGGACACTGAAGAAATCCTGAAAGAGGTTCCATTTAATAAACAAAAGTTCCATGGCCTTTCCTTAATATGTTCTTCTTTCTCGGTTACAGTAACACACAGGAGCCAAAATGGCTTTAGTAATTAAGTGTGCTCTTCAAACGTAGCCCCACAGATTAAAATTTCATCTCACCAATTACCCAATTAAAAGTTCTGTCAAGTGAGGCCTGTATGTAGAATTCATGGAATGCATGAATCAGCCCAAATAGCAAAAATTACCGTAAATACTGATTTGCCCATTCCGTTTAACAGAGCTCTTTAACCAGCAATAACTTCCAATAAAAACACATATCTAATTATATGGAAGCAAGAGTCAGCTTTAAAACTGTCAGAAGCTCCTGCGCCTTCCATAATTCTTTTGCACAGATATTTCCCATGACTTGGCCTCCTTCTCTTTCTATTTTTGGTTCTGTCTGTTTATAAACAGTGCAAGTGAAAGTGAGAATAAAATTGTATTTACAACTGAAATGATTCTTAGGATCAAATGCTGAAAATAATAATAAATAAAATAGACAGACAGACGTACTGTGCTGGCATGACAGCTACTCTGAGTGATATGTTAGATTTGGCCAGTCCTGGGGATGGAGAGCAGAAGTGATACAGGATTGTGTTTCTTGAAATAATATGAAATTTGAAACCTGAAAACTGCATCACCATGTATGTGGTCAGTCATGTCCTCTCAGAAACACTCTGAGGTAGATTAGCCGAGAGAATTATACATTTAAAGCACATGACTTACCCCCAAAGAATTCTGGGAACTGTAGCTTATGCCTCACAGAGCTACAATTCCCCACACTACAGTTCCCATGATTCTTTGGAGAGCGCCATGTGCTTTAAACGTATGGTGTGTATGCAGCCTCAAGTGTTCAAGGCTAGTCAGCACAGGGATTTGAGTCCTTGTCTCTTTGAACAATACCTAATGCTCTTTTCCCATTACCACAGATAGAGATAAATCAGGTTGGTTTGGTTTGCTTCGGAGTCAGCATTATAATAAAAAAGAAATCTGTTACAATGGATAATGTCGCCTTAGCATGCTAATGCAGTTGCCACCTTTTACCAGCAGGGCTCCTGAGCTCTTACATTCAACACATCAAGGCAGGAAGGGCACAACTGCAACCTTCCCTTTCACAGTGATGTAATGATTGATGGGGAAAGGTACAGTACACTTGTTTATGTTTTTGACAAAGACACGGCTTTTAAGAACAAAGGAGCCCAGCCCAGGAAACAAAAGGGAGAAACCTCTTTGCATCAAACTCTTTTAAGTTCATGTAGATCAAAAAGATTATCATTGACTTCGTGGTTGATTTCATTCCTTTGTTTCCTGAAGACGGCGAGTGCTCTAACATTAGTTATAGCTGGGTGTGCATGAAACAATCTGCTGTAACCTTTGGACTGATTTAGTGCAAGTATTTTTTGTGTGTGTTTTTTATATAAAATTTGGCATATTTCCATAATGCAATGTTTGATGAAGTTGCATCATAGTTGCTATTTGTTTGCTCAAAGGGCCAGAGTTATAAAAAGGAAAGAGGTAAATAGTACTGGAAGTCTGGGTTTGTTAATTTGTCACTATAAAGAATGCTGCAATCTCTGGCTAGCATTGATAAACCCTTTTCGACTTTACTACTACCCAAGAGCCTCAGTAACTCCTAGCAATGAAGGCGGGAGGAAGATAGTTAACCAATTGCACTAATATAAGGAAACTTTATTATTTCGTTATCTCTAAACTGTTGCCTAACTGTCACATCATGCGATGCTCATATTGCAGTTCAATGTGTACATATTCTGGTAATGACTTCAAGCCTGGAGCCAATGGCTGGGTTCAGATGTAACATGAAACCATGGTTTGTTTAACCATTTTTGTAACACCCCTTTTTATATGTCCGGTGCCTCTGTGTAGAAAACTTTCTGCAACATCCAGCAGCAAAAGGGCACTTATTGAAATGACAAGAAGCAAGAACAGGGGTCCCTAACCTTTTTGAACCTGTAGGCACATTTCCTCTATCACTTTAAAGGGGAGTGCTGTTCTTTTTGCCTTTCCCTTGTGTATGTGTGGCACTCCCTACTTCCATTTAAGTGAATGGAGACTCTGACATGAGTACCCGCAAGAAATTGCTGCAGGGGTACATATAAGTATACGACGTCCATACGTGAAACAGTTGTCCACCTTTTCTTGTTCTGTAGCTCAAAGGTCATTCAGGTACTAGGAAATAATATGCAGTTTCCATGGCAAGGCAGCCAAGTGAATGGTTACTATGGGAACTTGGAGCAGCAACTAGCCGAGCAGGTTGTTGTGTAAACTGAAAGTGCAAACACATTTTCAAAGTCAGTTATTGAGGAGCTGGAGTTTTGATTATAAAAACATAGCTCTGTTTGAAGGAGTTTTGAAATGTATTTAATTAGTCATTCTTGGGCCGCTGTTTCATTGTAGCGGCTTAGCACTTTTTTAAAAAAAACCAACACAGCTTTAAGAATATAGGCTACAAATGGTTTGCGCTGTATGTACTGTACTTTCAAAAGGTTTGCCTTGAAATCTGTCAAATCCATATAACAACGTGTACATTTTAAACTAGGGTTTAAACTCTTTTTAACTAGGGTTGTCACATGTCCAGAATTTCCCTGGAATACTGCAGTCGGAAGCAGTGTCTGGGCAGAAATCACAAAAATGTCTGGGAAAATCCGGACGCATGGCAACCCATGTCGGCAGTGCTCAACAACTTTGGGCAAAACTAAAAGCAGCTCTACACCTTTGGCCAAAACAACCACCACCACTTTTCTGTCTGGATTTTTACTGTTTCAATTATGGCAACTCTATTTTAACTAATCCTGCTCTTGTGACTTTCCCTATCACTTCTTAGTTATCTAATCACCATGCCCCGTGGTTGGACTTTTGGAAAGTTGTTCTACCTGCTGCACTTTATCTCAAGGCCTTTGAGGTCACCCTTCCCACCTTTGGGTCTCCAGCCTCAGTAGCAGTGGTGAGATCTTTGGAACAGAGGAGGTAAGTGGAAAGGAAGCCTGTGATGTGGTATCGGGGCTTAACAGAACTAAAAGACCCTAGCATGAAGTATGGCAGTGCTGGCAGAACAATGTACTAAGGCCACTCTAGCCAATGCACTCTGAGGTTTAGCTTTTGGAAAGATGCAGAGCACAGACAGAGTAGGACCAGTGAAGGATCAGGGCCTGGGTGGAGCTGTCCAGTGGGCTGGAGGTTCCCAACCCCATCACCTCAGTTTCAGGAAAAGCTTCCGCTGATGAATTTGTGTCTCAGCAGAACAGGGTTGCTTGAAGGATGGAGTCAGTGCATGGGGATTGGCAGTCCCAATTATTTAAAATTAAGGCCTATTTAAGTACAACTCAGAGTACTCTCAGAATTATCATATACCTGAAATTAATACCTAAGTACTAAGGGACGCGGGTGGCGCTGTGGGTAAAACCTCAGCGCCTAGGACTTGCCAATCGCATGGTCGGCGGTTCGAATCCCTGCGGCGGGGTGCGCTCCCGTCGTTCAGTCCCAGCGCCTGCCAACCTAGCAGTTCGAAAGCACCCTCGGGTGCAAGTAGATAAATAGGGACCGCTTACCAGCGGGAAGGTAAACGGCGTTCAGTGTGCTGCGTTGGCTCGCCAGATGCAGCTTGTCACGCTGGCCACGTGACCCGGAAGTGTCTGCGGACAGCGCTGGCTCCCGGCCTATAGAGTGAGATGAGCCTACAACCCTAGAGTCTGGCAAGACTGGCCCATATGGGCAGGGGTACCTTTACCTTTACCTTTACTTAAATTCACAGCATAAATAATGAATGTGCCTAATAGCCACTGGTGTGTCAAAAATATTGGGCTTGAGTGTTGGCATGAAGGTTGCTGCAAAAGTAATGGAACCCGTTCTCTGCTCCTATCTGGCTACTATAAAATTTCACTGGCTCCTAAATGTATGTATTCTTGCCTTTTAAAAATATGATTACATACTGTTAATAATTATTTGAATTTGCATATAATCCTATCGGGAAAAGAGCATGGCTCATAATATATTATTTGCAAATAAGTTTCTGGTTTCAGTACTCGTAATCTCCAGCTTTAAAAACTTGGAGAACAGAGCCATCAAATGTCCATCCATCTGTGGTCAGGAGATCCTACAGAAGTGCTGCTGACAACTAATATTAGCCAGTTGTTGGGGTAGATAGACTATTGCTTTGATTCAGGGCAAGACTGTTCATTCACATATGCTGGGAATTGCTACAAAGCTAGAGCTTCCAGAGCTTATCAGTATTGCTGTGTCAGGGCAGCAAGGTCATAGTATAGAACTTAGAGCTGCACATAGCCCCCTTCACCCCCTCTGCAAGCCTGGCTGACCCAGGGACCACCCACCTTGCCCTGGCTCCAGCAAACAATTTGGGGTGGAGTGGCACTCTGGGTTAAACCACAGAGCCTACGACTTGCTGATCAGAAGGTCGGTGGTTCGAATCCCCGTGATGGGGTGAGCTCCCATTGCTCGGTTCCTGCTCCTGCCAATCTAGCAGTTCGAAAGCAACGCAGTGCAAGTAGATAAATAGGTACCGCTCCAGTGGGAAGGTAAACAGTGTTTCCGTGCGCTGCACTGGTTCGCCAGAAGCGGCTTAGTCCTGCTCGCCACATGACCTGTGCGCCGGCTCCCTCGGCCAATAAAACGAGATGAGCGCCACAACTCCAGAGTCGGCCATGACTGGACCTAATGGTCAGGGGTCCCTTTACCTTTAATGTTTAATTAGGGTTCTAACAACTGCAACTGAGATACTGTCAGGAGGGGTCAGGAGGAAGAAACGTTGCATCTCCTCTCCCAACCAAGAGCAAGAGGGTTCAGTCCTGCTAGGTGCTACTTCGCAAGCTTCAATAAAGCATCCTGCAGCCCACAGGATTGAATCCTGATGAGTGGAGGATTCCATCCTGCTAAGGTTTGCTTCCCCAGCACATTCTCTGTGGGGAACACGCTGGCAAAGCAGACTCCTGCAGCTTTTCCACCCAATGCCCTGCCCCTGATGGCTGCAGATCACCCCAGATGGCCTAACCAGGGCTGCCCCAACCCAACTCAGCCAAAGTCCAGATCCCCTCTAATGAGCCCAGTTTAGCCTGCAATTTGGCTGAATCTGGTGCACAGGCACAACAGAAACCCTAAGCGGTTTTCTTACTATGTTTTGGAGTTGGGGAATCCCTGATGTATAAAGCAAGACTAAACCATATCCTTTTGTTCTAGGAGCACACACACTCCCGTGAGACCTGGGATTGGTCTGCCATACAGAACTCTATTAAAAGAATCTCCAAATGCAGTTGCATCCTGAACCAAAAGAGCAATTGCAGCCGTGCCAAAGAAGGAGCTGTATAAACTTTCTGAAAGTACAAGCATTCGGACCTGTTATTGTAAGTAAGTGATTGGAACTACCGGTAGTTAAAATGCTGCGCTGCAATGACGTTACAGCTAAAATATGAAGAAAAGAGCACATACTTGGGAAAGTTCATAGCAGCCGTGAGTTGTGACGCTTGTGTGCACTTTACTTGTGGTTTCCTAGTTGCACTCTGAAACTTCACTGTGTGATAAATTACCAACATTTAAGTTCTTTTCAAAATGACAGGATAAATGTGTGCTACTTGAACACTTTTTCAAGGCCCTTTTGTGTGTGTGCATAAACTATTACTGAAGCAGTAGAGCCATGGCTGGTGTGTGTATATACATGCACTTTTAACAAATAAAAATAATACATTATAGAAACAAAAGGTATAGTTTAACTGTGTCAGTATGGGTAGAAAATAAAGAGAATTCTCTGTGATATAATTACAGTACATACATTTTACCATTTTAATTTAGATTTGTATCTAAGCAGAAAAAGTAAAGATGGAATTCACCCTAAGGCTATGAAGTTCAATGAATAGCTTTGGGATATCAGCCTAATTAATGTACCTTGCTGCTCTGTCCTCATTTGGGTTGGGCAGAAATGTAACAAGCACATAGATTGATTTAGGCATAATTTGGCTGTGTTGCTAAGAAATTATCTGGGCCAAGTGGCTGATCTCACAATCTTTGTTGTTTTGCTTATGCCACAAGCAGCATTGCAGCTGCAACAGGTCCAGTGCAAAGATTGAACAAATGATATTGCGAGCAAATATGCATTCTGATTGATGATAGGTTTTATTTTTGGAGGGGTGGGGGAACATCATGTAGCACAAAAATGCTTTCCGCTTCATATGTGAAAACTTTGGGTTATGCCGCAGAGTAATCTATACCTCAAGCAACTGACATTTTAGAGAATGCTTCATATATTATATAAACCATAAACGAATGTGGGTCTAACCTGTCCCTGTGCTGAATGCCTTTAAGTAAGGAGACTACTTCATCATGTGTGAGAACTGCAGCCACATTCATAATAATTTATGTATTGGTTTCATGATTAATTGTCATAAGCCACCTTGAGAATTGCCTGAGAGTCAGATTCTGAACTTTAGTATAAATACGTTTTACGTATCTAGGACAAGCCTTGACTCACTGCCTAGAATCTCTTCATTGATATTATCCACAGTTAACACTAATTGGGATTTTCTGTTCCAGGGCTTTTCTTTCAGCGGGAACCTGCCAGAACTCAGTCCCAGCACCTCTCAGGTAGGCACTTCTAAGAGAATGAATAAAATAAAGTAAAATTCATGGTGAGTTCCATCACCTTTTCTTCTTGAAAAATAGCACTGCTGTGTTCACCCATGTTTCTAAAGTGGTTAGGAAAGCCAGATTAAAGTATCCCAGTTATGGGATACCAAAACAGAAAGCCCAAGCAGTAGGATTTCCAGCAGAAATTATTACAGCTTTTATTGCCTCACTGCAAAATTAAACTACCATGCTGGCTTTTGTAGACAGGAGTTACCGATCTCCTTATAGATGTGCACCTTATAGTTCTTTAGCATTCAATTTGTTCTAACTGTATGTCTCAAGCAAATCTTCTGTCTCAAATTAGTAAAACTGGTCTGTGTGCAGAATTTCTTTGTAAGCAGCATGTGCACTGTAAAGAACTTTTGACACCGAATGTACCTGAAGCACTTAAGAAATTCCTCTTAAAACTTTCCAACTGAGATCAATGGGCCTTAATTTTTGCTGGATTATAGCTGTTGTTTTTTAGATTAGGTTATCATTTATTCCTCCTGCCTCTGCTATAGCCTGGAACGTGCCCCAAAGCACCTCTGGCATCTTTTGTTTTCAGAACATGAAAGTAATTGCCACCTTATTTATATATATATATTTAAAATCCCATACACCAAAGAAAACGTGTTTATTTAAAAACTTATTTATATATAATATTTATTATCAATCCACAGGATAGTTTGATTGCTACATAAAATTCATTAAAAGCTATTTCACCTTTACAAATTGTAAAAAAGAAAAGAAAAAAGAAATAAAAAGAAAAAAAGAAAATGTGCCACAAAGATGCAATGGTTGCTGACCAACCAAGTCACTGAATTGTAAAATTATAAATTTGCTGTAGAAAAGATAAAAAAAGTAAAACAATTAATATTCACTTTAGAATTTTACTTTGAATAAAATATCCCACTGTATAAAAAAATAAAAAAGCTTACTCTGGTTAGAATTAGAGTATTTCTCTCTCTTTAAAACCTGGGAATTTGCATAATATATCTGTAATAGATTTTCTTCTATTGTACCACACAGCTTTCAAGCATAGCAGATTAGACAAGTATAAGGTAAGCACTCTTAAAAACAACCTGCAAAATGTACAGGAGGAGGTTTTACTTTCCTATTTGATTCTTTTTCCATACTCCCAAGGCGACATTAGCCAGAAGAGCCCTGGGAAAGAGCGAAGTTGAGGGTGGGGAAGAAGGGGCTTTAAGTGTGCCATTAATAAGAGCAAGATAATGAAAGGCCTTTTTTGCAAGTGCTTTTTCTTTTTTTCAATAAGGTGCGAAAGCAGTCTGCAGTATTGCTAGTACAGCACTGCATTATGTACATATTCACAACTGATTCTGGAAAAAAACAAAAATCAAGCAAGTTCACATTTTTCTTTCCATTCCGAGGTTTTCAGTTCCATTGTGGCCTGAAATGGAGGAACTTCATTTGGGGAGGGGCTCTTGGTCCTCTTGTTTCAGCCTTGGCATCTACCAGGGTGGTTTTCCTGCCCCTGGGCTGTAACCTTGGACCTCTGTCCAGCTTCACATCTACATTCTGTTGGTTGGAGTCCTGAGTTTAAAATGCTCCAGTGCTGGAGCTGGACACGGTTGCGTTCCGCACTGTCAAGGCTCTTCTCTCTTCGGTTTGCTGAATGTACATTAGATGTGCTCCTCAAAGCCACAACAGAGAATCCGCCAAGAACGTGCCAGTTTATGTGGCTTAGCTGCTCTTGACTCTTGACTGAGTAATGTCTGACGTTTTCTTGATGACGCTGGCCCGGTTCTCGTGATCCGGTGGCCTGTTACTGTAGCTGGTGGAAGCCGAGCACACGATTTGTTGCAGAGGGAGCTCGGGGAAAGGCCACGAGCTGTTGTAAGGCAAGGGACAGGCTTCTTCCTTAATGGTGACCTGGAGGTCAGGCTTGTTGGAAGTCACAAAAGTAGCCATCCCAGGAAGCGGGTAAGGGGAGTTCCTGGTCCCCAAGTTGCTGTAGTATTGTTTGCCGCCAACGTTTTCCTTTTGCCAGTGAAGATGACCCTGCAGAGAAGAGACAAGCAGTGGGAAGAGGGTTTTATTCATCCCACATACAGCATAATCAGGACACCTCTTGCAATTGGAAAAGTCATTTGTTGTAGAGGAGGCAATAACCACACTTGTAAGATGACTGTTGTCATAGTGTTGAGGGTACAGAAAGGGTCTCTTCACCACAGGAGGATCTAGAATGCAAGGCAGTTTACCTTCTCCCTCAACTGTGCTCCATACTGCAACCTGTTTGTTTTGGTCCAGGGATAGTAGGCCTTACTGACTCCCTTCCTTGCACAATTGGCCATAGGCTCCTATGCTTGGCCATGCCAAGTTAGGTGCAATAAAAGGGCCCCTAGCCCCCAACTTAGCATGTGGCAGAAGTACTCCTATACTGGCACATGCACTGTCTTATCATCCTGACTTTTATACATCTGGGGAAAGTCTGGGTGTGTGTTTGTAGCTTCTTTATGCCAACTGGGAAGCCCCAATTGCCCAGCGTTCCTGACTGCCTAGGCACCCCATTTGAACCTGTCACTGACTACACAGCGGTCAGGGAGCTGGTGCACATGCCAATGTCAGGGGTTGTGCAATGGTACATTCCCTCTCCTTGTCCATCCAGCGTCTGTGTGGTGAAGGAGGAAAGTCTAGAGAGTTTCACTAACGCAGTACACATTGTAAACATACACACTTAAGACTTAGCCTGCCCAGTTAACAAAAATCAGAAGCTAGAGTGAATATTTTTTCTCTCAGACTGTGAGACTGGACAGAAATACTTTTGGTATTTGCAGGTACCACATGTGTAAGAAAGCTTTCCATCATGGCTAGGAGAACTTCCTGCCATTGTGTTCAACCACATGTGAGCTCAGGAAATCCAAAAGTGGCAGCTTGCAACCAAGATATGACAAACAAGCAAGCTGCAACTAGCTTTTATAGTCGGAAAATGTTACACACAGTTGCTTGTTTGTAGCAGTACCCAACTGAAAGACTTCACTGCTCATTTTGAAGGAGAAAAAGGTGTCCTATTACAGATTGCTGCAGCACTGCATTAACTTGCAAACACCATGACTCCTGAAGTGTGAAGGTAAGCAAACAGACACGCAGTTTTCCATGATAATTAGCTACGCCTGGTGCAGATACACACCAGCCCCAATGGCTGTTATGGGTCAAAAAAGCATCCCAGAACACTACGTAAGGAAGCTTTGGCCTCTTCCAGCCTCTGCTGACATGGCACAGCAGTTGTGCAGCACAACTGTGTTGTGTGGGTGCTAGAGAGGAGGCCCCCTATCCATGCTGGCACCTAGAGATTAATGCAAGGGCATGCTCTTTGCATTGATACCAGGGCACCTTGAGCTGACTGTATCAACTTCTACCACAACTCGGCCCAATTTGCAAGCCCAGCTGAGCTAGAAGGCTTGCAAAATGCTGCCTTTGGAGTAACCCTGCAGCAACAGGGTTGCTACTAAGAACTGCTTGTGTGCGGCTGGTGCTCCAGAGAAGTTGTGCTAACTCTGAGATTCCACTTCTCTCATGGAGAAAGCGCAGCTGTAACAGCAAAGTTCCCCAGGGACTTTGCGTGTAGAAATACTGTCTGCTGTGCTAGGGCCGAAATATGAAAACGCCTCGTCATGACTGTATTTTTAGTACTGCTTCGTCGGTTCAGCATCGTAAGCTGAAGCAAAGTGGTTATAGCCATTGGCTGAAACAGAGCATTTATTTATTTACCACGTGGGTGAGCAACATGGCGTGGTTGCCTCTGCTAGCACCACACATCCCTGGGGGCTTTTGAGTAGAAAGCAAACGGCTATTAAGTTGAAATCCTTAAATTTTACACTCTAAAACCGACTCAATTATTTCAGTGGCCCTGCTCTGAAGTAGGTTTTGGGATAGCAGACTGTGGAACTCCCTCCTAGTTGGCTCCTGCCTTTAGGTGAATGTTGAAAACTTTTATTTTTATTTTTGGCCAGGCATTTGGATTATTTTAATGGTTGGGTTTCTCTCTGCTATGCTAATGCCACGCCAGTCTTTTAATCTTATGGATATGGTTTTAATTTTATTGCATATTTTTATTCTGTTGTGGGCTGCCTCCAGGGCCTTTGTAGATGGAAAGAGGGGCAGAAATTCCTAAACCAGCAAACGAACACCTCTACCTTGCTACCATCCAATTCATAGACAAAATGGACTGAAGCATATTAGGGAAGGAATATAAAACTTATGAAATATATTCTATTCCTTTGCTTACCTGTGCACTTTCTTCGTCACTCGGTATGCTGTCTGTTGTCTCACTTTCTGTGGATAAAAGTATGCATACTGAAAACATGTGACATCTTGACTGTCAATAAAGCATGTAACAGGATGTTTCCTCTTATTCAATCATGGATTCCATGCCAGCATTATGAGGTTTTTCCAGAACCAGCGACTCCATGTGGGGAAGGGCTGTGAGCATCAGATGCCCCAGTGTTCAATCCCTTGTATCTCCAGTTTGGTCAGGGAGAGGACCCCACCCCCCAAGATACCCTGGACCCTTGCAGCCAATTATAGATTGGCTAATACTGAGGTTGATGGTCTGACTCAGTCTGAGGCAGCTATACCACTGAAATGCCACAACAGTGCCAGGCAAAAAAAGTCACGTTTCTAGGACAAGATTATACTGGAATCAGAAGTTGGTAAAGAGGATGCAAAACTTTCTATTTGAGGGTCAAAAGGGGGACACTGCTAGAACTCGGCCTGCTGCATGGTCAAGAGCCCCTTCTCAACCACCTCTGGAGCTACAGACATACACGTACATCAGAGTCTTTGCACATTCCTCTGGCTGACCTCCAAGCAGCGCTATCGGCACCCACACCCAAGAAGCAACAAAACTTCTTTCACTTGATAATGTTTATCTAGAACATGCAGCCTCAAGGCCTTTTGAAAACACAAACTGGTAGTGTAACTCCGCTAGCCGTGTCTAGGCTGTGGATAGCAGCCTGCTTCCCGGAGCGTCGGGCGCCCTGAAAGCAGAGCTCCCGGCGCTTCGGGAACACATCCGCAGCGTGGGGAGCCTTGCAGGAGTTCCCCGCAGGGCTCCCCACACTGCGGATAGCAGCCTGCTGCCTGGCGGGTGGGGCGCCCTGAAGCAGAGCGCCCCTCGCGCCGGGTAGACATCCGCAGAGTGGGGAGCCCTGCAGGAGTTCCCCACAGGGCTCCCCACGCTGCGGATAGCAGCCTGCTGCCTGGCGGGTGGGGCGCCCTGAAGCAGAGCGCCCCGCGCGCCAGGCAGACATCAGCCAGCCCCACAAGCTCGGGGGACAGCAGGGAGGCGCAGCGCCACTATCCCGCTGTTCCTCGACCTGGTTCGGTTTCCCTGACCTGCTTTTGGGGGGGAAATAAAGGGAATTTCCCCCCCTTTATTTCCCCCCAAAAAACTAGGTGCGTCCTATGGTCCAGTGCGTCCAATCGTGCGAAAAATATGGTAAGTTTCCTGCTCCATTGCGTCCCCCAGAACCAAGCCTTTGCCTGTGGTAGAGCTTATACACCCCACAATTTTCTCTGTCACATAATGGGATTTCTTGTACAAGAACATGTATCAGCCTCTAATTCCTAGATGTAGCAGCACAGAGACGATTCAGGCAAACAATGTTCTCTTGAACCCTGTGTAAGAAAGCCTCTTGCCCTTCAATTCCCATTCCTCACATCTCAAGTTATTTTATTTATACATGCATACATACTGAAATGTATACTCCACTTTTCTAAGTGAAAGCCAAAATGGAGCTTTACCTAAGAAGCCACATTTGCAATCATCTTGGTTGTGACACTATGCACACTTGTGTATTATTATTTTTTTATTATTATATACTTGTTTATACCCTGCCTTTCCCCATGAGAGGGACTCAAGGCGGCTTACAGATAAAAACAAGAACCGCTAAAAAGATAATTTTTGCACACAGAGTGCAGTTTACTGAACACATTTGTAAAGGGTAATTTTAATAGGTATTTCGTTTCTGTGTATTACAGCAGGATTAGGTCTTTTGTTTCTCAGAAGAAATAATACCTGTGTTTAGCAGAACCCAAGCACTAAAAGAATCTGACAAGTATTCTAAAATAGAAAAGAAAAGCACCTACCTACCAAAAGTTAAAACATGGCACTGACTGAAACCAAGACCCCAAGTTCTTTTGCGAGTGCAATGTTTCTTACCTGCATAGGAGGAGACTGGGGAGATCTGTAGTGGATACAACTGACTCACACTGCTGGGTTGGTCATCACATTCTGTTGTCACTTCCACTACTTGGCAAACATCAGGTGGATTGGGAACTATCATATGATCCTCAGAACCACACTCAAAATGCGCATCTCCTACAACTTTGCATGATAACAAGAGAGAATTGTGATGATTACCCGTGCCTGCATTAATAAAGAGCTTACATTACAGTCAAGCAAAAAGCAGTGTTATGGACCGTAACTTCATAATGGCTGGAGATCCAGCTCTAAGATTAGTACACTATGTAGAGGCTTAAACTTAAGTTCCATCTCAACCGACATGTGAAACCAGGGTTTGAAGACAATGGTTAAGAGGGGACTTGGTTAGGAATCAGATGGAAGGTTTGACTATGAGGAAGAGGGGGGAGCAAATTCCTGATTTGCAAACCTTGGTTTGCTGGGGCCAGCATCATGTATATACCAGAACATTCAAATAAGTGCATCAGTTTTAATTAGCCGGGGTGGGTGTGTGGAATCTTCCCTTGATATGAAATATAATATAATTAAAATGAACTTTCATTCATGATGAAAAGTATTACCTGTTTCTTAGATTAACATGGAAAATGACTGTCTAGCCACAAAAATTATTCTATTTCATCTTCCCTGTCACCTTGTTAGGGTGGTATGATGCTGGATTCCTACTTTAGCTGAAAAGTACTGTCAAAGTTCCTGTAGTGTTTTTTCACTGGTGACAAGGATTACTACTGAGACCCACTCGAGCTAAATAAACCATTAAATTTCATGTCCACATTTGTTCTTAAGAGTTCTCAAATAAAGCAAAATATTATTAGGCACATCAAAATACAAACTCCTGTTGCTGTAATTCCGCCGTGTTACCAACTGTATAGTGAAACTGAACTTTAAAGGCTACAGTTAGTGCAGTAAGAGTTTACCAGATACGAAAAGGAATGTGCTGGGGCGACTTACCTACAATGTTTATTGTGCTGTCGACTTCAGCTTTTATTGCTGGAGATAAGCAGTAATCAGAAAACCCCTGGCATGTTCCATTACTCAGTTCATACGACAATTCCTCTGGTTCTTGCTGAAAAAATAAAATTAAAAAATGGAAGTGTGTTAAGATTGTTGAGTATACAGAAGAGCTATCTCCTGACTATCCTTCGTTAACCTTTCCCTACCCTTTGTCCCTGACACACCCTTCTCAGCCATGATGGTAGGCCTAAATGAAGCCAAATGGCCGTTTAAGCTTCCCAAGATCAGACTGAAACAGCAACCTTTCCCAGCCCGTTTCATACATAAAAGCAAAGTGTGAAATTCACAAGGTGCCTTCCAAGAAATGTTAATGCATGGTTTGTAATGAAAAATTAAACATTACAGAGTTGCAAGGGTGAGGCACTGCCTGAAACATTTATTCCTATTAAATATTCATTGTAGCTTTCCAAGTGCATTTTAGTGCTATGAGCAGAGAATGCATGATAATCGTGAGAGCCTGTCACTAAGTAAACACGTCCTCTTAGTTCCTTAGAAAAGCACCTGAACTTTGCATCCACAAAATGTGTTTCAGCAGCACATGTTCTCTGTTTGGAAAATCCATGCACCCAGAGAGCAAGAGACAGAAAGCAGGCAAGGAAATGCCTTTTACAAGACCTGCTCCTGTTGGTACAAGTGTATAAGGATTGGAGGCCCAATTCAGACAGAAACATTTGTGTTTCGTTTTTGTTTTGTTTCAGTGTAAGCTTTGGACAGCTCTTCTGTTCCATATTTGGATGGAGAAGGGTAAGAATAAAATTAAATGCCCATCAACTGAGGGGAATCTCTCATTCCTAGTAGGTGATATAAAGGCTTTGTTTCAGCATGATTACATGAGAATACAAAAAAGTGCAGTAATGGTAGTTTGCACAAAACTTTTCAGCATTCCTTTCTTTTTAAAGCAATGAACATAGGCTTGAAAGAGTAGGGATAATGCTTGCTGGAATCTCAGGTAACCCCATAAACCCACATGGACCAACCAGTAAAGCCCAATTGCTTCATAGGTTGGCAGACACTGTGTCATGAATCTCCATTCATCTTCCAATCATCAACCGTAATTTGTCTATGAAATGATGAGATATTTACCTTAATTTGTTTCATTTTGTCTTCCTTGGGTTTCTTTCCTGTAGAAATGTAAGGATTCATTTATTGTTTTACAATCATTTCCTGGTAAGACTGGACAATTCTGCCTAGCCCCAACGTACTCCAACTTGGAAAGTCACTGGACTCAATGTTGATCATAATTATAATTTACGTGGTACTTGAAATGGCCTAGACTACCTATTCGAACCGTAATGAAATTAAGGAAACTTGGACAGCAGTAGTGCCTGCAGCTTACCCTGCAAAACAATCAACTGGGGTGAGGAGCAAGATGCCCCACTAAATTTGGAATTCAAGGAAAAACTAGTTGCTCCTAAAACCATGGAGTTACTGCTACATCTTTTGTCTTCTCATCCCTGTGAGTATCTTGCCTGACCTGACACACGACAGGCAGATATACACAGTCTTGTGCCAACCAGGTAATCTTGCCCAGTGTGTGTTTATTTTGTATATATATTTCTCTTGTATTAAGAAGCGTTTTTATTTGTTAACGTTTTGCTCTTTTTGTGAGGCACAGAAGTGAAGACATTGCACAATTTATTATTATTAGTGGGGATGTTAAAGACCAAGTGTGCCTACTATAAAGGAGACAATTAGACTAATGTAGGAAGCAGCCCACTATCAGCATGGCTCTCTCGATCTCCAGAATATCCGCAATGTTCCTCTCCTTTACCTTTCTTTGAAGGCCTCTCAGATAACGGCAGCATCCGGTATACTCGGAAGGCATTATTTCCTTTCTTTATGCTTTTGTCCTTGACTTCTTCAATATCAGGTAAGGAGTTCATAGCACATCGAAAGTTTGCCTTCCATGTCTTTGGGTCTGGTTTATCAACTCCTGGCTGGAACTTCCCTAACAAAGAAAGAAAAATGGGATTCATGGTATGATACACCTTATGCTAATAAATAATGATGATGATGATAATAAATTTTATTTATGCCCCGCCCTCCCCGGCCAAGATCAGGCTCAGGGCGGCTAACATCAGGTATAAAAACAACTGATTAAAATACAACTTAAAAACAGGATTAAAATACAACTTAAAATGCAGCCTCATTTCAGTGGAAGCCCAGATCAAAAACTGTTTGTGGGGAGTCAAATCTTCACCAAGGCCAACTATCCAGACTGGTCCTACACGGGCCAGAAAAAAGCCAGGGAAGTCCCCAAACAGGGGTTCCATCACAGAAGGAAAAGGAAAGAGGGGGAGGGGATCAGGCTGATTCCAAGCCAAAGGCCAGGTGGAACAACTCTGTCTTACAGGCCCTGCAGAAAGAAATCAGATCCCGCAGGGCCCTGGTCTCATGAGACAGAGCGTTCCACCAGGCCGGAACCAGTGTTGAAAAAGCCCTGGACCCTGGTTGAGGCTAATCTGACTTTCTTAGGGCCCGGGACCTCTAGAGTGTTGCTTTTTATAAATTGGGGACCCTTCATATTCAGGGACCCTTACAATCAGACCGAGAAGTTCTGGACACCCTGTAACACACACACAGCAGCTGCTTGCTCAAGTATACTCCAAATCTCTCTGCATTTGGCCCATCAAATCAGCAATGAGTTCCAGGCACAGACGCCTCTGATAGACATTATGACCCTGCCACGTATACAGGAAAGGAGGGGGCAGCTTCAAAGAGGCAAAAGGATGCATGTGTGGATCTGCTTCCCCCAGATGATTAAATAGCTGCAGCTATATCCTCGTAGCTGCAAGAGCCCCACCTGCTCACTGCACTACAGCTGGGACACTTGGGGAAAGGTGAAAATGTGGAAAAGCAAAATGGAACACTACAACGCTGAAAGAAGAGATAAAACCTCCACAATTAAACGTGCCCCAATAAACCTGAGCTCCTCTTACCTGTGTGAATAGCCCAGTTCCTAAATAAAGGAGCATCTTTTTCAACATCCCACCCATGGCGTGCTGCGTGCATCCAGGGAATCTGAAAAATCATTTTTTCCTGGAACAGAAAAACAAGTAGGAAACAACCACAATTATCAACATGCAGATACAGAAGTCTTAAACTTTCTTACTTTATAAAACAGGTAGCATTTGTACAACCTGCACCTATTTTCCACTGCTTTCTCACTTTCTGGCTCAATAATGTTCTGCATGGAATGAAAGTCAAAGTTGTTGATTTTACTGAGACTAAGCAAAATTACTAAATGCTGCAAAATATTCAGGTGCCTCCTTGTGACTTAAAGCTGTGAACTAATTGAGGTAATATTGGATGTGCATTACCGTGATTTCAGGCAAACATTTCTAATTTCATTGACCTCTTATCCTAAGCCTTTTGATTACTTGAATTACTTAAGAGTGTGGAACCCCTGGGAACAGAAATGTACATTTGGGAAATGACTAAAACTGGCTCAGAGTTCATGGAATAAGGCAGGCTATAACATTTCCCAGAAAACCATGAATATAGAAACCAAAATAGTATGGGTTGCTTCACATGTCATGCATGTCCAGCTTCCATTAGGCTGCGTTCTACTATCCAATATCAAAAACTAACAGTGATCTACCACACTCTCCCATTGTCATTCTTCAACTTAAACATATTATATTTGGCTGGGGAAACCCAGCCAGATGGGCGGGGTATAAATAATAAATCATGATGATGATGATAAAAATAATAACAAATTATTACCCCCACACCAGCCCCCTCCCAGGGCCCTTGGTGCACATGGGAAGCCAACATGGCCCCAAATGTCCAATTCCCCCTTTACCAGAGGAAGAGCTCGGGGGGGGGGGCAGCGGCTTACTTTTCAGTAAATGCAGCTAGACTGGAGCTGGAAAGGTGAGGAAAGTTCAGCATCCATGCAGAACTAGGAGGGAGAGGGTGTTTTCTTTCCACAGGAACCGGTGGGAGAGGGAAGAGGGATGTCATTGTCTCTCTTTCACACCGCCCTTCCCGTGGCTCCCTCTGCAGCACTGCAGTCCGTGCGGAGCCCGCACACCTTGTCTTTGCCTTCCTGCCCCGGGGCAGAGGCTTGCAAGGGGGTGGTGGCAGGCCTCACACCTTTTCGGGCCGGCCAGCTGACTGGGCGTTGGGCAAAGCCGGTGGCCGGAGCAGGGTGCTTGAGGCAGCTGCAAGGCGGAGGCGGCGCCGGCACTAGCCAGAGCACTTGCTGCGGCAGCAGTGAGCAAGCCTGGCTAAGTGGAGCCTCAGTCGCTCCAGCTGCGGCTGAGCGCATGCTGAGGGCGCCCGGTGGCCATGGGAGAGGGTGGCGGGTCATGATCAACAAAAATCCACTGCGCAATTGACACGTTGGCGATGTCTGTCATATGGCATTGAGCCCTGTCCTAACATGCTCACTACTTTTCACTTGCATATGCCACATAATTACAGTGGTGCCTCGCAAGACGAAATTAATTCGTTCCGCGAGTTTTCTTGTCTTGCGATTTTTTCGTCTTGCGAAGCACGGTGTCGGGAAAGTTTTGGAAAAGCTTCAAAAATCACCAAAGTCTTTAAAAACCTCAAAAAAGGCTACCACACCGCGTTCTATGAGTTGCTCCTCGAAGTCAAGTCACAACTGTATTAACAGTGTTAAGAAAAAGGAAACAAACTTGCAAGACGTTTCCGTCTTGCGAAGCAAGCCCATAGGGAAAATCGTCTTGCGAAGCAGCTCAAAAAACCCTTTCGTCTAGCAAGTTTTTTGTCTTGCGAGGCATTCGTCTTGCGAGGTACCACTGTATTTACTTCCTGGTATACAGCTAACCAGGGTGGATAAAAAGCAATAATTTTTAAATAATAATAATAATAAAAAGTTTCTTTTATTTAAATCGGATTGTTTTGATTTAAATCGGATTTTTAAAATAAAATGCTTTTGGAGGAAAAATATTTCTAAAGATAATTTTCTATCTAAGTTACATTATAGTCCAAAGGCTATTTATCAGGAAATAAGAATTTGTTTTAAGTTTTTCATGCGTGCTAAAACTCAGTCTAAGTTTTGTTTATACACATCAGTTAACAAACATGGATACATATGCTATAATGTTATTGTTTTAGTTAAATAAATTGTTTAAACTGTTACTTATGATTATTTTTCTCCTTCCAATAAAGTACAGCAGAAAAGTTGTCCAAATATAAAGAGTTAACTTATTAAACCTCACAATAATTTCATAATTATCTGTCTATGTATTTCTAATAGTATAACCAAGTCAGTAATTTTTGATAACTGTAAAAACTACTCTGAAAATTTATGCAAGAATGGGTCTTTCTGTAAAAATAATAATGATTTAAATCAAGTCTTGCTGACTAGTGATTTAAATCGATTCAATTTAAATCAAATCCACCCTGCAGCAAACCACAGTTTTGGGTTACACTCATTCCAATTTTGGTTACACTCAAATTAGAGTTTGATGAATGCTAATGCTGGACTAATTCCTCTAGCATCAAATCACTCTGTGGCATTATGAATGTACCATGTATCAACTGTCTACTTTATTGATCAGGTTGGTTCTCCCTTTGCTTAGATTCATGCAGGCTATAAAAATGTTTTATTTCACCTGGCTTTTGATGGGTTTTTAATTCCATTCCTTAGTTTTGTTTAAACAATGGTTTGGTTTTAACTGGTGCTTTCCTTGTTTTTGTATCACCTCATGGGCCCATAATAATGTTTAAAAACACAGGCATGCCTTACCTCGTTTAGCCATTTCAAACCCGGTATTTTGTTTGAATTTATTTGTTCCTCCAGCCACGGCCGCATTCGCATTCTTTCCACTGGCATTGCTACCTTTGCAAGAAGAGAAAGCGCAGCTCAATTATTTGACAAGCCAGGTGTGTTTCCTTTACATCAGTAGCAGGGAAACTCTGGTGCATGGACCTTATTGCAGTGTTTCCCAACCGGTGTTCCGCGGCACACCAGTGTGCCGTGAGACCTTGCCTGGTGTGCCGTGGGAGGGAGGCGGAAGAGGCGGGGCGGCGCGGCGCCCGAGATCGCTTCTCCCCACCGCCCCTTGCTTCAAAAGAGGTCCGGGGACAGCGGGAAGCGCTTCGCGCTGCCCCCGGACCTCTTTTGAAGCAAGGGGCTGCGGGGAGATCGCTTCTCCCGGTGCTCCGAAGCGGGGCGGGGGGCGGGAACCTGCAGCGCGGAGCGCGGGGCGCCCTTTGGAGGACGCCCCGTGCTTCGCGCAGCTGTCCGCAAGCCTTGCGCGCCCAGGGGAACTCCCCCCCGCGTGCACGGCTTGCGGGCGGCAGCCAGCAGCGCGGAGCACGGGGCGCCCTCCGTAGGAGGCTGCGGAGGGTGGCGCGGAGCTGCCCGCGCTCCAGGGCTTCTTGCAGCTCCGCGCCACCCCCGGATCCCGGTGCGAAGCCGCGCGGGGCTGCGGAGGGTGGCACGGAGCTGCCTGCGCTCCAGGGCTTCTTGCAGCTCCGCGCCACCCCCCCCATCCCGGCGCGAAGCCGCGCGGGGCTGCGGAGGGTGGTGCGAAGCTGCCTGCGCTCCAGGGCTTCTTGCAGCTCCGCGCCACCCCCCGGATCCCAGCGCGAAGCCGCACGGGGCTCTGGAGGGTAGTGCAGAGCTGCCTGCATCCCGAAGCCTGGTGCGCGCTGAAGAGCGCCCCCGGGCTTCACGCACCTCTCCGCAAGCCTGGGGAGACCAGTGTGGCTCCCTAGGCTTGCGGATATCAGGCTGTTCTGGGGGCTGGGGTCGGGGGAAGCTTGGGTTTCCCCTGCGCCTGCCCCGTGCCTGGGGAGGGGAAAATTTTTTTTTCTTTATTCTCCCCCCAAAAAATTAGGTGCGTCTTATGGGGTGGTGCGTCCTATGGGGCGAAAAATATGGTAGTCAATATAGGCACAGAGTTAAATTTTTTAACATTTTCTAATGGTGGTGTGCCTCGAGATTTTTTTCATGAAACAAGTGTGCCTTTGCCCAAAAAAGGTTGGGAAACACTGCCTTATTGGGTCTCGTGGGTTGGGCTGCCATGTTGTTTTCAGCAAGACACACACACCCTCCTTTCCTATGTCATATATGACATCAAGTCCAGAAAAGTTCAAGCTGCACTTTGAACGTCAAGATGTAGTTAAAGGGAAGAATTAGGAGCACATTTAAGAGTGAACTCCCAATTTCTTCCTTTGCAGTTGAGTCACATTATAATAATAATTAGTAGTATTATTATCCAACAGAATTAATGATGATGATGATGATGATAATAATAATAATAATAATAATAATAATAATAATAATAAAAAGCAATAGAACACCAGGCATTAAAAACTTCCCTAAACAGGGCTGCCTTCAAAGCTCAGGATCCAGCCCACTCACCAGATCTTGATTCCCACCACTACTTTACATTATACACAGAAGTGAAATTATCTATAATGCTAATGTAAAAAATATCTATCTATAAACTTTATGGTAATATTCAACATGACACTTGGGAACAAAGGCTCTGCCTACAGCACAGGCCCAAGATGGTCAGCAATGCATGGCTTCCCACTTTGCTGACCTCAAGAGAACCAGTCTCTAGGACTGCCTTGGAAGGCTTTAATCACAGTTTACTTCTTTGGAGGGCATTCTTGATAAGACCTTCCCAACAATTTATCTTACAAGCAATTGTTCTACACTATATTGTATTTTATAACAGTTCACTAGAGATGATTTTCACTGCAACACCATGTACCTATGCTGAAATTTAAAAATGAAGTACAGTGGTACCTCAGGTTACAGATGCTTCAGGTTACAGATTCCGCTAACCCAGAAATAGTACCTCGGGTTAAGAACTTTGCTTCAGGATGAGAACAGAAATTGTGCAGTGGCGGCAGCGGGAAGCCCTATTAGCTAAAGTGGTACCTCGTGTTAAGAACAGTTTCAGGTTAAAAATGGACCTCCGGAACGAATTGAGTTCTTAACCCAAGGTACCACTGTACCTCTTGAGTCTCACAAGTTTTACTGAAAGACTTAAGCATCTGCTAAACTTTTCCCAACAGAAGTTGATGACACTTTGCCTGTAATCCTCTGCATGTCTACTCAAAACAAAGCCTGTCATATTCAATAGCCACATGTATAGGATTGGGGCATTACATTACCTGGGCGTAATGAGTCTTCTGAGTAAACATGCCTTGGATCGTGCTGTGAGTCACTGTAAATTCAGGGGGATTTCTGAGCAAGCATGTAATCCTATGCACTCTTAATTTGAGAACTCGGCATGAGTCAATGGGACTCACTTCTCAGTAAACATGGAGTATCAGGTTGTTGTGCACTTTACACTTTGGATGAAATACACTCATCTATTTTTATTTGCTTTATACTTTATGGAAGGCTGCAATCATAGATTCAATATCATATTCTGTAACAGTGACTGATGAGCAAGTAATACCATAGAATAAACGATGAACCTGCAATGTAATATGTCAGTAAAATGAAGCCAATGTAATTTTAGACATCATATATTTCATGAATTAGGAATGTGTTCTGCCTCTAAATGGGTAGTAAGTCATACTGTAAGAAAGCAGGATGGTATGCTGTACTGGAGAGATCATGGCTAAATATAGAAGTGAATTCAGGCCTGATCAACAAATACAGGTGGGATTCAGGCAGGTAGGATTGCAAGAGCCAGAAAAGTCTTGAGAGAAGAAATCAAATGTGCTTTCTTTGCCTACTCAAAGATGGAACTTAAGCAATTATTAAAACATTTCCCTATATATAGATATAACTGTTCCCTATCACCAAATCCAGATGGCTTCTGGAGGGGCTTGATTTCCACAAGAAATTAGTACCACAGCTGCTACAAAAAAATCCATCAAACATCATTTGAAATTGTGGGGAGGAAAATAACAAAGAGGGGAAAGATCATTGTGCAGGTACGGGACACTGAGAAATTAACTGCTTCATTTGCCTAAGAGAAGGAAGATCTTTCTCTCTGACAGAATACTCTTAAACTTTTTTCAGTAGACATTTATTTTGATTATAGAGTATGCAAATCATACATCAGGAATTAAAACCCAATCAATATAATTGTTGCGTCAACAATGGAAAGCAGAGGTACAGTGGTACCTCAGGTTAAGAACTTCCAGGGTTCTGGAAGTCCGTTCTTAACCTGAGGTACCACGTTAGCTAATGGGGCCTCCCGCTGCTGCTGCACCGCCGGAGTACAATTTCTGTTCTCATCCTGAAGCAAAGTTCTTAACTCAAGGTACTATTCTGTAACCTGAAGCGTCTGTAACCCGAGGTACCACTGTGCTCAGAAAGTGGGATTTACTGGTAGAGATTACATGAAGTAGATCAGCAAGAATTTCTGACTCTTGATTATGGCGACAACAAAGAAAGTCCCCACTCCCAAATTATACTGCTGAAAATGAAAGATACCTGGGATTGAGGGAGGAGAGTTAACCAGGAGTGGTTTTGTGAGGACAAACAGTGAGCTCAGTTGAAGTTTGGCTAATTAAAACTAATTCCTGGGCTCAGCATTCTTTAATTACACGTGTATGTCTTTTGCACCTGGCTCTGGTTGGTAGATCTCAGGGTGCTAGTAAAAAACAAACAAACAGCAGAACCAGAAGTCTGAAGCATGTCCTCTCTTGACGTAAATGGCTATGTAATTGCCTAGGCTTTCGCAGTTTCATTCACCAGCAGCCTCCAACAAACTCTTTGCATTGCAGTCGAAGGCAACAAGAAGCCAGAGCTTCACCTGCACTAACTTCCAGCCTCCAAACTTCACCACAAGCCATCTTGTTTCCAGCATTTACTACCAACCCCTTCCTCTAATACTCTGGCATTTTCTCCCATTTGTGCTGCCATGGAGAAGGCAAGGTGGTGCGGAGAGATAATTTTCTGTCTCCATAAATCAAACGAAGACACAGAACAGAATGGTCATTCAGAATCTCACTCACAACATTAATTATATGAATGGGTTAACTACCAACCACCTATCAACATATAAATGCAAGGTGGCAAGGCTTGCAGCAGGTCCTTCCTGCTCATGCCTGACCAGTTTAGGGTTACATGCAACCTCAGCAACTGTGGCTTGTGTACAAACACAAAAGAAGAAGAAAGAGTAGGACTCCAAAAGTTCAACAGCACGCTATGATGTGTGTGGAAAGGTGCCCTACACTGGGAAGAAATAGGATTGCCCCTTTTAACTGGCAACAGGGATGGTCACCACAACGTGTTAGCCTTCTATACCGTATTATTGAGCCAATCAAGAACCACCTGACTACAGTCTTTGAGCAGCACACCTCATACTAGGCTGGGCGATATTTGGTTTTCAACATCGTGGTATATCATCAGCTAAACATCACCCTGCCAACCTAGCAGTTTCGAAAGCACGTCAAAGTGCAAGTAGATAAATAGGTACCGCTCCGGCAGAAAGGTAAATGGCGTTTCCGTGCGCTGCTCTGGTTTGCCAGGAGCGGCTTAGTCATGCTGGCCACATGACCCGGAAGCTGTACGCAGGCTCCCTCGGCCAATAAAGCGAGATGAGCGCCGCAACCCCAGAGTCAGCCATGACTGGACCTAATGGTCAGGGGTCCCTTTACCTTTAAACATCACAATATACCAATATATCATGGTGTCTGAAATAAGGATGCAACTATGTAGAGGCACTGGCTGGCTTCACACTTTTTCCTGCATCATAATCGGCACCTGCTCTTTTGATTTGCTGCCCTCTGCATGAAGCAGGGGAGAGCCGAGATGGCAGAGTTAACAGGGGCTGCAGGAAACGAGAGACACATTGACTGGCTTCACTGTTTTCCCCAAATTGTGATTTTGGCATAGCGCACGCACAATGATT